TATATGATAGAATGAATGTAAAACTAATGTTCTCCCATGTAAACTATCACATAATTCACAATAAAACATTTAAGAAAAAATATATATAACTCCTGGCCAGCCCTTTCTATCTGTACTCCACTTTAGTCCCAGAGTGCCCTTGTGCAACACCAATCTGGTAATGTCTCTCTCAAAGGACAGGATATAGTGAAAACTTCTTGGCCAGGGCTTCAAGGCCTTTCCCTGTCTGTCTGGATACCCTCACTCCCATACTACCCAGTGCTCCAGCCACATACATTGAACTGCTGGAGCCTGCTGAAAATGCCACCCTGTTATGGACATGCAATGTTCTTCACCACTTTCCTGATGTATAGTCCTGGTGTGGAGCTATAAGACAAGTACTGGACTGCTAGTCACAAGGCTGGTGGTTCAAACCTACCAGTTGCTTGTCAGACACCCTAAGTATAGTCGCGATGAGTTAAGAACCAACTCAACAGCACTTAACAACCACTTTCTTGATGAGAAGGGCATCTGCTTATCTACACAGCCCTGTTTAAAATGGCACAGCCTTGATGAAGCCTGCATTGACCTTCCTTATCCCAGACAAAATTAGTCACTCCTTTTGAATATCCTTTTTCATCCCCTTCATTACATGATTTATCTACCTGAATGAGAGGTGAAGGAACCTACTGCAGACAGATTTTGTTTAACCTGCATGTGGGTAGTGGTGGTATGTGTGTGTGTTTGAAAACAAAGCAAAACAAAAAAGAAACAGATACCCAGTTTCTCTTGAAAAATTGGGAGGTCAGGTGAGTTTGGGTCCTCATTTCTTTCTAATACCAATGTACAATAGTAAATCCACCTGCTGTCCTTTTAATGCATTTTTAATACTATATATACACACACTCCAGAGTCCTGGTATGGCGTTTTAGGATAAACACTCGACCACAAGGTCGGTTTGAATCATAAGCTGCTCCTCAGATACCCTATACAGTGTCGCTATGAGTCAGAACTGATTCGATAGCACTTAACAACAACAAAATATACACTCCTGGTGTGGCACTGCAGGGTCAGCACTGTACTGTGAACCACAAGGTCAGCAATTCAAGCCCACCCAGCTGCTCCTCAGAAATCCTATACAGGGTTGCTATGAGTTGGAACCTACTCAAGGGCACTCAACAACAACTATATATATATGTTATATATATACACACACATATATATATACACATATATCATATATATGTTTGTGTGTATGTGTGTGTATATAGATAGATAGATAGATAGATAGATAGATAGATAGATAGAGAGAATGTCCTGGTATGGCACTGTAGGTTAAAGCCCAGGACTGTAAAGTTGGTTTGAAGCACAAAGTCATTGGTTCAAGCTCTCCTTGGAAACCCTGTAGAGTAGAGTTGCCCATAGGGGTTTCTTGGCTGGAGTCTTCATAGAAGCTGATCAAGGGTCGTTCTTCCACATAGCTTCTGGGTGAGTTCGAACCACCAACCTTGTTGTTACTAGTCAGTTGCTTAACCTTGGGCCACCAGATCTCCTTCACCTGTGCTCCTTTTAGGTGGGGAGGTGTTTCCCAGTTTGTGCTCCCCACCCCCTGTCTCTCCTGATTTATGTATCTAACTACTCCTGGGGACATTGAGGTTTTAAGCCTTGGACTATACCTCCCATATATTCTGGGCCACTCCTATGTACAAATATCCTTCTTGTCCCTGTAAGCAACTTAAATGTACCAGAAATTCCAGTATTTTGGCAGAAAGTAGATGGCTGAATAAAATCAGATCAATAAAAATATATATGTCACAGAATGCCTTTGCCAACTCATGTGTTCCATTTTTTTTTTTTTTTTTAATTTGGAAGCTATAAACCTTGTAGTCTCTACCCTCTGACTCACATTCCAATTAGTTTTATGGGAATAAGACTCTCCCATCCAAAGGGAGCAAAGAAGATGGCACCAGGATCAGGGAACACCAGGTCTTCCAGAGGAGAGGGGTTTAAGAATTGGCATCTGTTGGAAAAGGATTGCTCATGTTGTAATTACATAACAGCTTATTTAAAGCTGAGAAAAGACATTCATATCTCAAATCAAAGAATAAGGTGAGACTCTGGAAACTGGTTTTCCCACTGGGGAAGGAGACACAATAAATATATTTGTGATTGAATGAAACTGAGGGCATGGAGTCAGGTTAGGAAGTGCAGAAGGTGCAGATAGTCTTCTGAAAGGTATGTTGTGTGGTGGGGGTTGAAAGAGTGTAAGTAGATTATTGATGTAAAGGTTTTTAAAGAATGGTTCTGAAACATAAGTATGCATCAAAATTACCTAGAAGACTGGTGAAAAGCAAGATTGCTGGGCTCAACTCCCTGAGCATCTGATTCAGCAGGTCTGGATGAGGCCTGAGAATTTGCATTTCTAGTGTCATAAGGATCCCTGGTGGTGCAATAGAAAAGCATTCAATCCACCCAATGGTTCCAGATAGAAAGCCTGGTGATCGTAAAGAGTACAGCCAAGACAACCTTATGGGGTAGTTCTACTCTATCATATGGGAGCACTGTGAGTCTAAATCACTGGAGGGTTCTAATAACAACAACATTAAGTTCCCAAGAGATGCTGGTGCTGCTGGTCCCAGAACCACACATTTAAAGAAATGTCCACTCCTGTCCACTACTAGCCTCCAAACCCTCAAATTTCCTTATAGAGATGGTGTGTCATTTTCTCTAGAGAAAATCCCTAGTTGAAGTTCTGTGCCTCATCTACTCTGCATGGCCTTAAGGTCAGGGAACTTGATGTGAACTCCATTGGACAGAGAAAGCACTCACCAGTAATTTTTAACACGACCTGGGTCTTGGTAGGGAAAGTTGTAAAGTGGATCTGATCTTGACACTCCCCTCAAGGCAACCTCAAATCCCAAACCACAGGTCTCCTGAGAAATGGGTAGAGATGGCTTCTTGCTAATTAGCATTACTCAGACTAAATTCTCCTTTCCAAGGACTTCCCCTTAATTCAATTCAACTCAATGCAACACAATTAATACAGCAGTTTGACTCCCTGATGAAGTGGCCCACATAACCACTAGGGCAGTAAATCACGAAGCTTAGGGTGAATATTCTTTAGACTTCATTCTTCAGGTCCTGAATTAGTAGTAGATGGGGGAAGATGAGGGTTCCAGGGAATCTATTCTAACCAATGATCCCCAGGTGAGTCTGAAGCAAATGAACCTCCTCACACCTTGAGAAACACTCCAGTGGAAGCTAACGACTCAATATGTTTAGTTTTCCCTCTCATTTCTTCCCTGCAGCACAATACAAAATGAAGCTGTCAAAAGAGACGTCTCTATTAAGAGTCTGGCAAACCCAGGGTAACTTTCTCAACACAGCCTCTTTCCCCACCTCCAGAACTGAAACTGGGGCTTCACATAGTGGTCCTAAGAGTCAATTGTTGTTGTTGTTGTTAAGTGCCGTCGAGTCGGTTCTGACCCATAGCAACACTGTACAGGGTTTCCGAGGGTGTAAATCTTTACGGGAGTAGAAAGCCTCATCTTTCCCCCGCGGAGCGGCTGGTAGTTTCGAACCGCTAACCTTAAGGTTCGCAGCCCAATTCGTAACCACTACGCTACCAGAGCTCCTTTATTCAAATTAAATTCAATATCCAGTCCAGTTGCCATCAAGTCAATTTCAACTTACGGCAACTTTGCTCCATAGGGTTTTCAATGGCTAATTTTTTAAAAATAATAGATCACCAGGTCTTTTTTCCAAGGCTGGGTACATATGAACCACCAACCTTCTGGTTAGTAGCCAAATGTAAACTGTTTGCATCACCCAGGGGTCCCCAAATTTAATATAGCAAATCTCATTCAGTGACCTATGTCTTGGTTAGAACTTGAATTCTGCTGCTTAGTGACTGAATCTCAATGGCAATGGCTTTAAGGAAATTCATTGTTTATTCTATGATGTGGGGGGAAAAATGGAAGTAGATGATCAGTACTGTTGTTGTTGTTAAGGGGTTCCATAAATTCATCTGAGATCAAGATTCCTTCCATCCTTTGGATCAAGGTATTAAGATAGCTGCTGGAATTCAGTCAGCACACCTGTATTCCAGGGAGGGAGAAGTGGGTGGGGAAGGGGGAGTTCTTCTCCTAGCTGAGTCACCCCCCCTATTAAAAGCTTTCCTGGAAGCTTTGGCTGGTAATTTCCACTTACATATCACTGCATCCCTAGGTGCAAGGGAAGCTAAGAATGTTGAGACTTTACGCTGCCCCAGGCATACCAGGATTCTGTAACTAGGAAGAGGGAATAATGGGAATTAGGTAAGGTGATTGGCAGTCTCTGCCATAGCCCACTAAGTGCCAGTTGGAGTGTCATGGGGCAGGTAGGAAGGACACAGAGCCTATAGTGGGGACCCTGAGTATACACACATCTGGAATTCCCAGGAAAACCACCAGGTGTGCTAAGAGAACTGTGAAAATGTTTGGATTCTGAACTGAAAGGTTTGGATTCACAAAGGGCTTTTGGAGGAAGAGAGCCTGTAAACTGAAAGCTTTGGATTCACAAAGGGCTTTTGGAGGAAGAGAGCCTATAAACCGTGCCTTACAACCCAGAGATGGGTTGTAAGGAAAGATAATCTGGGTCATCCCACTGCCATGAAATCACTTCTGACTCACAGTGAGCCTATACGACAGAGCAGAATTTCTCCATGGGTTCAAGGCTGACACCTTCATGGAAACTGACTGCCTTATCTTTCTCCCATGAAGAAGTTGGTGAGTTCTAATGACCAAGCTTTCAATTAGCACCGGAGTGCTTAACCACTGCATCACTAGGGCTCCTTAAACTCAGAGTGTTGTTGTTGTTAAGTGCCATTGAGTGGGTTCTGATTCTTCGTGACCCTGTAGGGTTTTCAAGGAGCAGCTGGTGGGTTTGAACAGCCAACCTTGCAGTGAGCGGTCCAGTGCTTACTCTACAGTGCCACACCTGGGTAGAGAGAATATACTCGTGTTAAGGGAATGACTGGACTCAGTTAAAAGAACTTGAACAGAAAACAGTTTCAGGGCTAGAAGGACTTACAATGACCAATTGAGCTGAGAAGTTCTTCACCTGGGATTCTGAGTTCCTGGGAGATACAGTTAATGTGCTTGGCAGCTAACTGAAAGATTGGAGGTTCAAGTCCACTCAAAGGTGCCATGGTATAAAATCCTGGTGATCTACTTCAGAATAGTAATAATAAACAGCCATTGAAGATTCTATGGAACACAGTTCTACTCTGGAGCCATGATGACTCAACGGTAATGGATTTTAACCTGGGATCCACACATAGTTCCATTGGGTAGGCTGCAAGTGGTCCTTGAACTACCTGAAAATCTATGTGAAACTTTTTATGCTTGGGTATATCGTACTTGACAAATGAAAGATGCTCAGGATAATCCCTACGTTGTTATTTCTAATCCTTCCCAAAGAGTCCACCGCATCCTCAAAGTTGGCCTCTTTATACAAAGCCTAGCTATAAATAAGATCTATATCCTCATTCCCTAAATCCCAAACCTCCAACTTTCCCCTGACTTGACTCATGCTGTTTCTCCTTGTAATTACTCCTCCCTGACTCTTCTCTTCCTCCTAAATATGGGCAGATAATGATTTCCCATCAAACATAAATTGCACAATTATCTCGAAAAAACATCATAGCAAAATATTTGGATTAGTTAGGGTTATTAATTACAAAAAATAAACTCAGCAACCAGATCCCATCCTAACCTGAGATTCTAGAATTTCTTTTGGTGTGAATGTTCTTTGACTTTAATATTCTTCCAGGAAGTCTTCCTTGACAATCCTCATTCACTTTGGTATAATGCTAATATTTTCTGCAAGAAGAATATAACTTGGCATTAGTTTTTAAGCCTATCTTGTATTGTTTTCCATTTTCTCTTATGTATACGTCTCATGTCACAATACAGATCATAATTAATTCAAGGACAAGGACTGAGTCTTACTCTCTTGTACCTCCACTATGCCTTGCCTATAACGTGATCAATCATCTCAGTTTGCCTGACCCTGAGGAGTTAGTTTCTTAGGACATGGGATTCTCAGTGCTAAAGTCCTAGACAAATCGGGATGAGTTTGCCATCTTACTTGCCCCAGCAATGGGAATGTTGTAGTCCCTATGGTAAACATTACTGCTGTCCACCAATAATTGCTGCTTCTTCACCTTCTGGGCACAGGTTGCACTTCCTCATTATTTTGAAGTTAGGCATGACCACATGATCATGCTTTGACTAGTAAAATGAGCATACTCAACACACTTCACTTCTAAGTGGGAGAATTTAAAGCCACGTGCACTTTTCTTGTCATTGCAAACACTGAAACAGCATGTTGAATTGATTGCATTACAGTTGGTACTTCACAGAGGTGAAACAGAACCTTCTGCCTATCCATGATCCCATAATACTTATGTAGTATAAGTCATAACTTCTCTAGTGGTAAACCACTGAGATTTTAAGATTTTTATTACTGCAGCAAAACCTAACCCAACCTAACTGGCATACCAGTCACAAAAAAATTCATTGGCAATTTTCTTAAACTCAAATTACCAAAGAAAAAATAAATAATAACAACAACAAAAATACAAAAAAAGAAATGAAGCTCTTTAGAATTTTTTTCCTCAGGCAGGAATCTCAAAGCACATACTCAAAAACCTAGTTGTGGGACAATGGGAAATCTGGCCTCCCGGGAAGTTCCAAGAGGCTGAAGACAACATCAGTTGAGACCAGAGGCCCCAGGAACAGGATTTACCTTCCGAGTTCCTGGTGTGGTGCTATAGGATAAGCACTGGACTGCTCACCACAAGGTTGGCAGTTCAAATCCACCAGCCACTTCTCAGAAACCCTATACAGGGTCAGTATGGGTCAAAACTTACTTGATGGCACTAAACAACAACTGTTCCTGCCTAAGGAACATGGTGGTTAAAATGCAAGGCTACTAACTAAAAGGTTGGAGGTTTGAACCCACCAGCCACTCATGTGACAATCTGCTTCTGTAAGGATTTATCGCCTGGAAAACCATATGTGGTCAAAATCAATGTGATGGCAATGGGGAGGATTTGGTTTCATTACTATCTACCAGCCCCAGTTACTGGTTTTAATTGTTGTCATTGAAATTTGAGATTAATTTTAGAAAGTTCAACTCTTCGATATACATATGGGACATTCTCAAACAGGAAAACAACTGGTTCAGGATCAAGGCATCCTTGATTACCCAGTTCAGACATCTCTGCCTTTTATGTTGCTTTTCCACCTAGTTAATTCATGGTCATTGCCCATTTTTGTGATTGCACAGACTTGTTGTTATGTGCCGTCGAGTCGGTTCCAATCCATAGCGACCCTGTACGGGGTTTCCGAGGCTGTAAATCTTTACAAGAGCAGAAAGCCTCATCTTTCTCCTGTGGAGCAGCTGATAGTTTCAAACTGCTGACCTTAAGGTTCACAGCCCGATTCGTAACCACTACGCTACCAGAGCTCCTTTGTGCAGACTTACCTAGGCCTTACAAAACTAGTGTTAGTCTCATGAGAAACCCATTGCCATTGAGTCCATTTCCACTCATAGTGACACCATAGTTTTTTATGAGCTGGAATTCAACTCAATGGCTTAATGGGAGTCTCACTTAAATATATTTTTTAATTTTCTTAATATATAGTAGTAAGTGCCAGACTGCAAAGCCGTTTGAACTGCAAGGTCGGCGGTTCAAGCTCACCAGCTGCTCCTCGGAAACCCTATACAGGGTCGCTAGGAGTCAGAACCGACTCAACAGCACTTAACAACAACAACAACAATAACAAGTGAACACTATGGACTCCTGGTGTGGTGCTGTGGGTTAATGTGCTGGACTGCAAGGTCTGTTTGAACCACAAGGTCGGTGGTTCAAACCACTCCTCGGAAACCCTATGCAGGGTTGCTATGGGTTGGAACCAATTCTATGGCACTTAACAACAACAACAACAACAAAGAGCATACTAATTTTTTTCCATTGTAATCTAGGTGTTTTAATTTATTTTTATATTTTTTTAATATATTATCATATTCTTGATAAAAGTACTCGTAGCAAAACAGGTTCCCATTCAACAGTTTCTACACATACTATTCAGTGGTATTGGTTACATTCTTCACATTGTGTAGCATTCTCATTATTTCCATCCTAATTCCATTCCCATTAA